GGCATTGGCTACTTCTGTTCATAGCTGGCGACAGCTGGATATTTAACAGAGGGCAGTGGGAGCTCTTAGCCAGAGATGGGAAGCACATGCAGCAGCATGAGGGAGCGCTCGGGTAAATGGTGTCTGTCTGGGAGTATTTCAGAGCTGTGGTTGTCCTCATGCCTTCCTGCCCAGTCCACGTAAACTGTGTTCTTTCTTTAGCTTTCCAGAGGGCATGAAGTTGTCAGACTTCTGCCCAGGTATCTCTGATCATTAATATCATTATCCATGAGGGGAAAAGATTGTCCTGAAGTCAGTGACAGTGTTGAAATTTCAACCAGTGGGTGGGGGTTGGCTTAGCGTGGCCCGCCGGTAGCTCCCTCGGCGATCTCCTGAAACCCTCTGCGTGTTGAGTCACTTCAGAGTATCGCAATGGAAAGCTGATAACAGCCGCAGTATAGAAATAGAGCTGAAGGGATTGGGTTATTAGACTGACGGCTAACTTGGACAGGGCTTAGCTGTGCTTAAACTGGTTACATCCATCACAGTGGGTTATAGGTGGTTCAGCTTTGCGGCACCGAGCAGGCCTCAGCGGTGGCGGCAGCCGCGTACCTCAGCGGCACGGCCCGTCCGCGCGGTGCCCCGGCGCCTGCTGGGCCTGTGCGTTGCCCTGGCGCCATCTCGGGAAACCAAGGCCCAAGGCCAGCGACGCCTCCGTCGGAGCGGACCGCTTGCCGGGGGCTGGCCTCTGAGTTTCCATATTTACAAAAAGCCACTGTGTGCAGCGATACCCTTTGTGTTTCCGTCATCATCTCAGCGCTGGTAACTTGTTCTGTGTCGGCTGTCATGTTGGTGGACTCATATTTTTGCTATTCCCTGCCGAGCTGATAGTGTTTGCTCTCACAAATCTGGGCAGATACTGAAAAAGCGGCATGCTCTGGGGCTTGGGCACCAGCTGTGCGCTTGTGTGCTGTCACAGGAGGAGAGGAGCAGTGCGTGTGAGGAGGCACAAGCAGGAGCTGGCATTAGCAGATACCCACGCTTGTTTGGTGGGAGTAGTTGAGCACCTGACCCGAGGCTTGGTCACCTTTGCCCTTCAGAAGGGCTGCTCGTACCTGCCCACTTTTCCAGCTGTGCGCTTGTGTGCTGTCACAGGAGGAGAGGAGCAGTGCGTGTGAGGAGGCACAAGCAGGAGCTGGCGTTAGTAGATACCCACAGTTGTTTGGTGGGAGTAGTTGAGCACCGCTCATTCCTGACCCGAGGCTTGGTCACCTTAGCCCTTCAGAAGGGCTAATCGTACCTGCCCACTTTTCTGTCGTGGGGTGTCCCAGCACTCCCATGCCAGCTATTTTCACTGGAATTGTGTTGGCACCAATGGGTGGCCCCTGGCCTGGGCCAGCTAGCCCTGCAGTGGGCCAGTGCTCCCGGCTGCCGGGCGAGGTGGCCCCCCTGCCCCGTCTGCCCCTTCCCAACAGCCACCGCAGGACTCAGAGGGGATTTAGTCCGGGGCTGGGGGCAGGGAAAGACGTTAAACAGGCTTTTCCCTAATGAGGTGTGACGCCAGCTGGAGAGGGAGAGAATCCTGCTTTTCTGCTGTCTGTTGCTCTCTCCAGCTACAGGAGGAGGAGGAGGAGATGTGTTTCCCCCCCCTCGCTTTCCTCTGCTGATTTGCTGCCTCTTCTGTTTCCTTTCTGTTCTGTCCCCAAAGCGTTTTGGCAAGGTTCAGATTTCTGCGCTCACAGCTCAGTGCTCAAAGAGAAAGGGGGAAAAACAAAAGGGTTGCAGGCATGGGGGGGATGGTGGTGGCGAGGCTGCTGAGGAGGCGTGCGGCACCCTAACCAGGGCCGGGGCATGCAGCGGTGCCCAGGGGCAGCGCTCACAGTGCAGAACGGGCTGCTCCTTTATTTATTTGTTTGTTTATTTATTTAGATGGATTGTGGAGTTTCTCATAGGAGCATCCCGTTCGCTGCTCCAGCGCCTCTCTGCTTCAATGCGCCCCTCGCTTGAGCGCTGTGCGGCTTCATGGGCCATGGAGTGAGGGTCGGGAAGGCCAAGGTCCTTCTTCCCTTTTAAAAAATGTGGATTAGGGGACACTGGGGAAACACTATAGGATTCTAATTCATCGTTTGTGGTCCCAAGATGCTAAAACGTGTATGGTGTCCTCCTACAGCTACTGTTCTCTACCACATCTCCCACAGTGCTCTGGGCATGTTGTGGGTCATCTCCAGTATTTGGATGTTTTGAGGCAGAAAGCCAGAAAATCCTGGCTTCCTTGGATAGAAAATTGTAAACCTCTAGGATTTCAATATTTTGGGGCAAAAAGCCAGAGAATCTGTCTGGATGTAAAACTGTCATGTTAGGTTACACAGAGCCAAGGGGACCCATCATGGGGAAGCTAAACTAGCGCTCACTGCTCCTATCCTATCCCGGGCGGCAGCAGAAAGGAAGCAGGCAAGAACTTCATAGGGCAATGGGTCGGTATCGTTTTCCAAGGTAAACAATCAGAACAGCACTCTGACTGTGCCTTAAACGTAGCCTTGACGCTGAGTGCGGTGGATGGCAGGGACCAGGCGACTTCAGGGGCTTGCACACGTGCACCAGCAACCCCGAGGATGGGTTGCAAATGCAGGTCTGCAGAGGGCCCCACAACCTCATGCCTGCTAACGATGGGCCTTCGTTAGCCCGTGTAGCGCTGGTCCTTGCTCACCCTGATGCAAGGGAGCACCCCTTAACTCAGCGTGCCCATGGGCCGTGGCAGGGACCGCACTTACAGGTGCACCTTGCAAGTCCAGGAGGGAGTGAGCACAGTAGGTAGGAAGGCCCTAGAGCAGGTATTTGGAAGCAGGTTGGCATGAGCCTGCGTGTCCATCCTGCTTGGAGGCCAGCACCTTGCCCAGCGCTCAAGGAATGCACCCGTATCTCCTCCGGCAGCGACCTGCGAGCTGCCAAAATGTAAAAGGTCACCCTTGGGCTTGGAAAACAATCCTGGCAGATACGGGGCTATCTTGGCGGTTTGTGGCCACTGTTTAATGAGCATTAGTCAAACAGCAGCTGAAAGGGCTCACGGGAAGCAATTTAAATATTCCTTGGTACAAAAGGCTGTGACATCCTGGGGAAGGCAGGCTGTTGACCGATGGTTTTAAAGCACAGGGATACTGTGGATGATGGAAGGGGAGAGACTGATTGCCGTGTGGGTGGGTGGGAAAGAATGTCCCAAGTCAGAGATCTCACTTTCTCCCCCGCTTTATTGTGGGTCCCAATGTGTCATTTTTCACAAGCTGCAAGTTCATTGTGGTAACTTACCTGAACAGTTATGTTTTATCACATCCTTTCTGTCCCCCTCACCTACATTTTCTTAGAAGGTAGGTGACTGCTAATGGCCTCTAAAAATAAGCAAGTCAACACCTGCAAAATATTAGCTGCTTACTGAGTGAACTCAGTTTTATGTATCTCATGACGTATTACTGTTATTAATTACTGCTTTTTAAATAGCAATGTTATCACTTCATTCAAGGTACGGCGAGCAATAGCTGCAGTTTTTGTATTAACTTACCATTAAAGAAGGCAGTCAGCTAGAGACCAACACAGAGATTCTTGGGGCTTGTTCTAATCCCCTGGCATGGTCACCCTGCTGCCTTTTGTCCTTTCTTTGCCTCAGTTTCCACATATAATAAACGTTTTTAATATATACTTCACAGGGCAGGTGTCAGGCTTCTGCTTATGCAGCTCCCTGGATATCATGCAAGAAATAAATAAGAGTAGTGTTGATAATGAAAATATGCCATTAATACCTTTCCAATAAAATACTACAAGCAGCATTTAATCTGCAATCTATTATCAATAACTTTATTACTGCAGTTACCGCAGTCTAATAAAAAAGCACTTCCTCTTCTTTATTGGGTAAGTGCCAAAACGTTTATCCTTTATTCTCTGGCCATTAACCTTTATTCTTTAGCCATTAGCTTAGTCATTTGTATAACAGTCTGTGGAGTAACATTCAAGTAGGAATTTGTATTCAATCCATTATTTACTCTGAAACCCAAAAAGAATAGGCTCTTATGGCTCTGTTATCTATCCATATTAAATCTTGTTAACTGTTGTATACTGTGATGATCACTCATATGGAAAGTAGATTTTCTTGCTGGGAGTGATTTTGTAGCTTATAAATACAACTTATCTTAGTTAACATAGTAACATTTTGAAAACAACACTTGAAAATGCCAGTCAAAGAGCAAATATTTTCTCACAACAGGTGTAAGATATGTGTTAATCTAATCTAAAATACTCGTGTTTGGAAGTTTATCCTTTTTATGGATCCTCATATAGGTGGTAATACACTGTTCTGTCTAGGGTTGAGAGTTTGGGTCGGGTCATATGGCCTGCCATCTCTCCATCCCATTTTTCTCTCCTAGCAAAAAAAAAAAAAAAATTCCTAGGGGAGTGAGGCATTCGCTCTTTATTTTTTTCATCATTTTCTGGATGTCCATCTGAAATTGCTACTTTTCTGCCACACTTTCTGAACGAGTCTTTTAATTGAACTCACCACTACCGCTATTAGTGGTAATGGAAAACAAAGCAGCAGAATGAAACTGTTAATTCCTGTCCATCACCTGAACATAGGAGAGATTATGGGTTTCTTATTAAACTGCAGTATTTCAGCCTCACCGAACCTTATTTTTCTGTTTCCAGAGAAAAGCATTAGTCTTTTGGCTGGAGAGTGTCATTCAGTAAAAAGCCTTTCAAGGTCTTCTCATAAACTTTTGCAATGAAGAGGTAATAGGAGGCAATTTTAGAAGAAGTTGAGGCTGGGTGAATTAAAAGTAAAATGAAACCGTTTCAAATTTAATAGTTTATATTGTTACTTTTAATGATGAGGAGAGGTTGGCTGACCCAGTGTGTGCTCCGCTGCTGTACAAGTACTTCTTGGGTCTTTCTGGCCCCGGTCAGCCAACAGGGGTATTTTGAGGAATTAGTTCAATGATTGGATTTTTTTTTTCTCCTTTTCTGCACATTAGGAACTGGAAGCTGCTCTTCACAGGGATGATGTGGAGTTTATCAGTGACCTGATCGCCTGCCTTCTTCAAGGTTGCTATCAGCGCAGGGATATCACGTGAGTAACCTCACCCTATGGTTTAAGCGCTTTGCAAGGGGAGCTAATTAACACAGTCACAGGGATGTTTCACAGCTTCAGAGTGATGACATGGAAGGGATCAGCAGTCACCAGCAATCAGGCCAAATTCTTCACTAAGTGGAAGGGAATTCCAGCTCCCCTCTGCCTGAGTTGCAGGCTTTTAATTTTACAGGCCTGTGGTTAAGCAAATGTCTGTGGAAGAAAACACGGTGTTCAAGTCCCGTGCAGATCTGGCACCCTGCTGTAGCACCAGTGCATATAGGGAATGTTCACATCTGCTGTTGTGCTCTGCATCTATATGATCCACGTCGTGACATCACCCTAAACGTCTAAATTAACACATAGGTCTCAACATTTTTTTTTTGTGAGTTACAAAGAATAAAAATTGCTGCCCTGCAATTTTCATGGAAGATCCCACTGCTTTACAGAGGGACAAGTTGGGCAGCAGGAACAGTAACAAATATTGTAATTATTTTCTTGGGATTAAGAGGAGCATTGAAATCAGCTCAGTTGTAGGATATTGGAAAGGACTTTCAAATGTTCTGGTGTTTCAACATCCAGAAACACTTTGTTAGTGTCCACTTAAGCGGACACTCCCCAAATGGAACTTCTTTAAAATATTGCTCTAGAGGATTGCTACTCACACAGTGAAATGTATTTGCAGTGATAAGGAGGGCTTGTTGCAGGGCTTTTTATTTGTTCTTCTTTTGTGAATCCTGCTAATAGCAAAACGTAACTGTGGAGATGAAGACATCTTGGCAGCTGTTACTGTTGCTTAAAAGAGGTGCTAAGCAATTCTGCTCCATAAGATTCGCCTGTTGTGCAGAGTGTTTACGCTGCTGTGGGGGTCATAGAGCTTGCACTGAACTCTCTATTTCTGATTAAAGTTATGTTGTTAACCCCTTCCCCCCCCAAAAAAAGAAAACCAAAAACCCACTACCTTAAATCATGTGAATACCTGATGTTTGTCATTTAAGTAGGTTTTCTTGCATATCTGTGTTGACATTCAACATGAGCCAATGTCAGGAACCAGGCAGCTGCATTTACTAACTCTGAATGAAACTGATAATGATAAGAAGCTTGATTGTAAAACAATTGCAGTCATATATACCTTCTTCATCTAAATATCCACAGAGCAATACCATCTAGCTTGTAAATGTGGCCAATTTATTTCTTCACACAAAAGTACCAAAAAAATAGTGGTTGGTGTTCTGCCCACCTTAACCAACTCATCCTACAAGCATTATAAACAACAAGCAGTGGAAGACTTGTCACTGTGTGTCTGTTTTTCACTATACTGTGTGATTTAGATTTCAGGTGCCCAAATGCAGTAAATCCTGCGTTCTGAAGTTCTCCTGAACAGATCTAAGAGCGTCTGCCTAGCACTGCTTAATTGCCTCCACTTCTCAGCTGTGTTAATTAACAAAAAAATCAGAGATGAATCATGTGTGAGTTGTTAGGCATTGGCAGGTTGTCTGCTGGGGAAGTTCTCACACGTAGGCATGCAGATACACTCATGCACAGTTGCATGACTCATCTGGCAGCTCAACAATGTGCGGTTATTTGATGGTGTGTGTAGGTCCCAGTCTGTGCTTGTGTAAATACCACCTTGATGAACATTGAGACATAAAAGTGGAAGGAAGTAAAGTCACTGCAGGAGGAAGGGAGGGTAGCACAAGTGCATTTTTGTGCAGCCTAGTCAGGATGTGTATGGAGCATAGGCTGGTACCTGTGTTGCTGTTAATGGTATGTCCATGCATGTTTGAGAGGCTGCTGTAGGGACTGGAGGAGGACAAAGTTGTGCATTGGTTCTTAAGCATTGCTGAGGAAGAAAATTGGAGGCTGGCTGGAAACAGAATGATACTGTATGCAGAGCGGTGGCACGAAGGAAGAAACATCTAGAGTTAGTGTAGATATGGAAATGTGAATAAAAATGATGGCTTGGATACATTTCTCAGAAACAAACTCGCCTCACTGTTTCTTCTTCACAAAGCCAGTTATGAAACATTCACCCAAAAATAAATGTTTTTGAAACCTAATATTCTCATTGTTTGTTATACAATTATTTCCAATACATGTCTCTAGCCTGATTTCAACCAGCCTTTGTTGACGCACAATTTTCTTGTGGTTCTTACTTTATCCCCCATTAATGGTAAGAAGTTGAACCTCAATTGATTTTGCTTGACTTCTCAGTCGTAGAGGTGCACAAATGAAAGAGGCACGATTTTTGAGAAAGGATGGTTTAGAGCTGACTTCTTAGGATGAGCCAGGGCTCCTTAGTCCTTGGGTGAAGGCAGGTTGAAGGTATCTATCTGTTGTGCAAGGAAAATATCAGCAGTTTCTTGGACTGTCGCAGCTACAGCAACAGCATTACTACAGCAACTACTACAGCCATTTGTGCACTGCTCTCTCATGCTGAGCCTGGGCTGTTAATCTTGAGGCTATAAGCTTTGCTCCCAGTTGCACCTCAGAGGGGAAGGTAACTGTTCTCATCCTTGTGCTGGAGCTCTGTGGCCCGAGCACAGCACACTGAATATAACCGCATGTAAACCACAGTCTGCCTATTTCTCAGAAGAGTTTTGAGGTTTAATTAGTTTGTATTAGTTAGTACAGTGTCCTGCCTCTTTGATGGCCCAAATGTTATCTGTCTATGCTTTCTAACAGTCTGGGTGGGAGTAGGTTGTAGTTCTTGTCACATCTGTTTTGACGACATGCAGAACTTACGACTGAGCTGGGTTGCCTGGCTTTAATCATGCATCATAAAGGGGTATAAAACTGTCACATACCTTTGCTAATTATAATGTGCTCTCAAGTAATTTGGGAAGTGGAATTAGCTGAGAGTCCTTCCAGTACACAATTTAACGTGCTCTAGTTTGGTATGCTTATTGGTATTTACAAAAATAGGATCATTAATTTTGTAGAGTTCCATGACTCTTGATTTTCAGGAAGAGCAGTGTGGTTTGCAGCTTTGCCTTGGGTTTGATACTCTGGGACAAGCATTTTTTAAAAGGAATTAAATATGAAAGAGAAATTTCTTTTTGGCTTGTTTGGTTGTTAAGGTGTTTTAGGGACTTCCTTTGAGTCGTGGGTGTTTGTGTTTAACTACCAAGATTGCTTAATGGGAGTCTCCAAAGAGTTGTTTACCATAACCACAGCAGTTAGGAGAACTGTTCCTTGCGCTGAATCTCATTGTATTAAGCATTGTAGAAGAACAGAATGAAAAAAAAGGGTGAAAAAAGAAAAAAGGTGATAGTCTGCATCCCTGCGATCCGGTAGTCTTCATTTCAAGATGATCTTGTCTGGCACTGGGCTGTTAGAGCAGTTGGCCACAGCAGTTTCCCTGTTCTTTCCTCTCTTTTGTTATGATCCAAGTAAATACCATTTGTAGTACTTATATACCATACATATCATATAACTACTAACCGTGTAATGACTAATATCCTTGAAGATTTTTTTGTATGATCTCACTGCCCCATTTTATGTTATAGGCATGATTTGGTTTGATGCCAAGAGCTTAACCATATATTTTTTCCTGCCACTACCTTTTGTGCAGAGACCTTGAAATGTCCATTTTCTTTTAAAGGTTTCCAAATGCGACTGCCTGGAAAGTGAGGAGTGACAAGGGAGTAAAATTCTTAATAGAATATGGAATATAATATGAAAAAAAAGGCGGTTTGAAAACATACTCGTGCTCGCTTCAGAATCCACTCTGATATAAATTGGGCAGCTGCATAATCCCTAGGGGCTGCCACTTTAATTCCAACAGGAAATGCGACTTGATGACTTGTATCAAGACAGGAAGATCAGAGCTGCAGCTAACGGCAAAGGCCACAGCAGGAGCCTTCTGCAGCTGTTTTTAAGTAAGAAGTGATGGTGTGACATAGATGGGTACATTCAACTAAAATGATCCAGAAAAGCTCCTGCTGTTCTGCATTTCTTTAGGCAAAATTCATTCTTCCCTACTCTGTTATTGCATATTTACTACTTTTTGTTTTGTTTTGGTTTTGTTTTGTAACAATTTTCAATGACTTTATCATAATTCTCATCAGGAACTATGTGTTGTTGTGTCTTAAAAAAATTTAATCATTTTTTTCTTAAAACCATGTTTCATTTTTTATTTATTCAAAGTGGACAAAGGTGCCAGAAAGTGGCAATAACAAAAACAATATCTCTGCTCTCGTCTATGCCCCATGAGAACTCTCTTCTTTTTATTCTTTTTTTTTTCTTTTTTTCTTTTATCTCAAGAGATTGGAGCATCACTCAAGCTAGAAATGATCTAATTGACTTCCCTGGCATAACAGAAGGCTTTTGCTGGCTTAGGAACCTCTTTTATTATTTCTTCACTTAGTGCCTTGGAATTTCTTTTTTTCCCTGGGTAGATCCTCTCCCTTGCCGCTGCCTTTAGCTCTTTCAGGATCTGTAAAACAACTTTGGAATCTTTCACCTATTGTTTGCACCTGTCTTTTTTGTTCTAATATGGGTAACAGGAGGACATTCCTTCATTCCTCCCTCCTCCCCAGTATAGCCTTAATTATTTTTCTCGTGTCCTTCATTATGGCATTGAGAAATACTCCCAATAGGGTATCTGAAGAACTATATTCCCTGAATGTTGAATTGCCAGCCAAGAACACGGCCTTTACCCTTTTTTTTCTTTTTTTCCCTAATGCTGTTCTTTAGTCACTTATTTTAGCTCTTGTCTGAACGAGATAAGAGATAATCTGCAATCTTCTAACCCATCAGGGCAGAATGGTTGTTTTGGGGGACTGCATTTAATAGGTTTGAGAATTTCACTTATTGCTTCTGCTCTGTCGTGCTCGTTCATCTTTTTTCTTTATTCTGTATGGACTGTGTCTTTACAGTTCAATTTCTCATGGTCCCATAAAGGTCTCATGTTTTGGAAAGTGTCCACGATAAAATGCTTGAAGTTTTAAAATTGCCTTTTTGCACCTGTGTGCGCTGTATCCTCTCGGGGACTGCTT